ATTTTCTACAGTGGAGACCCAGCATCCTGCATAGCATTGCCTTTACTCTGTAAATATATCAGGCCAGAAAAACATGTATTATATGGTCTTATATAGCTAAACCTTTAGTCCATAAAGGTATCATTAATCTTAACAACAGCATTCCAAAGTACAGGCAAAGCAATTTCAGAAGCAAAGTAAAATATGTAGGAAAATATATAACCCGGTTTGAACATTGCTCTAATCCAGTTTCCCCTACCCATAGCCTGGTGAATAAGCCACAAGGATTGTGTTAACACAACATTCTAAGCCATCAAGCATGGTTTACCTGTCAGAGGTTAGAATTTTTTTTAAAAAAATGGACAAACAGGTAAAACATACTTTCTTTTTTGCATTTACAAGAATCAGTGATTCTTCAAGCCGAGATGTATATGTTAAGTGTTGCTATTTGCAATGTTGAAAATATAATCTGATCTTTCTTCCATTTATTTGCAGCCCTCTACTTAGGAGCAAATACACAATCTATGGTGAAAGATTTTTAGAATAAGGGTTTAAATCAAACCCCATTATGGCCCAGATGACAAGAACTTTTGGGAACGTATTTCTATAGTATGAAAGTGAGCAATAATGCTGTTTGGTTGGCAGTGTCATCAACATTAACAAACTGGGAAATATACAATCCAGAATTATTTATTTACTATAACAATCACTGTGAGGCATAAATAGACAGGCTCAGCAAATAAGGAGACAATTGTGTCTTTTTGATTCTTAATGTCAGAAACCTTACAACAATGAAAATATGACACAACTGACAAAATCTGTAAAGTTCAGCTTCAAATCAGTCACATTTCTGGTTTCATAAGAACTTAAAACTACAGCATGATCAGCATTCTCTAAACTTACTTCTCCCAAAATATGGATGTAATCAGGACTGCAGAATAAAACTATTCTCTGCTGTCACATGTCATGGAGCCAACCCTTTATATCTATGTATACAGAATTAATATCTGCAGGTGGAAGAGGTTTCTAGCTGAGCTGAAGCACCACTGGATACCATTTCAACTTTTTCCAAACAGGATTCATGGGGCACAATAGAGAGTCAAGTTGTCTTATCGTGACAATATCCTTCAAGAATTACTTGCAATAATTGTCTCTCTGAAAAGAGGCAGAAAGAAAACATGCATATGTACAGAAATGTCTCTCCAGGGTGCCTACAGGTAGTCTCCAACTTATGACCGTAATGGAGCCTGCCCATTATGGTCATAAATCATAATAGTTAAAAATAGTGTCGGTCAGATGGCTGATCCAATTTTATCACATTTTCCGTGAAGGCTGTTAAAGTAATGCAGCAGTTGTAAAAAGCACACAGCATTGGCACTGCACTTTTAAGCAATATCAAAGTCTGGATTTAAATTAAAATATTCGGTTTGGTTTTTTTTTAATGGTTTAATCTGGAAAACATCCCAGATGTCCTTACCATTCAATGAGAGGTTGCTTGCTGGAAAGGGCATCAGTATATTGAACTCACAAATGAGAGACCAATTGCATAGAATGGCAGAAATGAAATGTCATTTTTCCTGGCTTTCGCTATAAAATGGAGCATTAATAAGCTATATATACACTGAAAGCAGCAACACCTCAGTCCTGATTATACATTGCAAACAGAGTTACAGAACTTTAGAAAACATTGTTTGGTCACCATTGCATTCTTTGGTATTCATCTTTTTGTATTCTGCTTAATAAACCATCCCTGGCTGAAAAAGACCATTGGGCTTACCTGAGGGGTCCTTCTCAGCACACCGCGGGAGAGTCCGAGCAATGGGTTATTTCAGTCTGGTTGCCCTGGAACTAAGGAAAGACTTTTCCTTGGCCACGCCTCCAGGGTGCCTAATCCCCAGAAATTTGAGACACTTTGGCCGTGGAGATACAGCTGAAGACAACCGCTTGGATGGTGTTGACGACGTCCTCTGACAGACCCTCAGCCCTTAGTAGGTCCCCCTCAAGTGCCAGACGGCCAACTGAAGCCACTGGGGTTCTGGATGGACAATGGCCCCCTGGCTGAGGGAGACCTGATCCGGGAGGAACAGCCACGGCGGTGACACCGACAGGCTGACCAAGTCTGGTTAGGTAACCCTAACTACAACCTCCGGGGCCAATGGGGCGCCAGTAATAGCACTTCTGCCCTCTCTTCTATGATCTTGATTAGAAGACGGGGAAGGAGTGGAAGAGGAGGAAACGCGTAGAGAAGGCCGCGAGGCCATCTGCAGCGAAGAGTGTCCGTTCCTTCTGCCCCCGGACTGTGGAAGCGGGAAAAGAAGCGCGGTAGTTGTGCGTTGGCTTTTGTCGCAAAGAGGTCGACTTGAGGGAGTCCGAACCTGCGGAACAGTTGATGAAACAGCGCAGGATCCAGCCGCCATTCCGTAGAGTCGATGGTGGTCCTGCTCAGCCAGTCCGCCTGGGTATTGTCCACGCCGGAGATGTAGTCGGA